ATTCAATCACCATGGATTTTAGTCGACTACCATGTGCTTTCGTAAAGCGTTGCTGCCGCTTGATAGTGTTCACACTGGCTGCCTAGTCAGGACTTCTCATCCCAATTCAAATCTGACTGAACTAGAGAGGCGAAGCATCATACATCGGCCACGGTCCAAATTTTCATTTCACCTTCAATCATCACCTAGTATCAATCATACAAGTCTGCCAAACCACGGTTATCTCACATAGTCAAAATGATGATTAATATGATCCTCTACCTCTCTAATTCAGTTTGATTTGAATTGGGATGAGAACTCTTAGCTTAGCAGCTAATGTGAGTACGATCAACAGGTAGTAATGCGTCACGACGAATTCATATGATAGTCGGGTAAAACCTATGGTGATTGAAGTGAAATAAAAATTTGGCTATCAGTCGGACTTCGTAGCTCAGTTGGTAGATTATCGAATCGGAAACTTCGGTGGTCACTGGTTTAAATTCAGTTGTGGTCTAAATTTTTATTTCATCTCCAATCACCACCCAGTATGAATTACTAGTCTGTCAAACCACATCTATCTCAGATAGTCAAAATGATAAGTAATATTTTAAAAAAATTCAATCCGAAAACAATATTTTCAAATAAAATGATTATTGAATCTGAATAATGTTTAATATAACACAATTGAAGGTAATCATTTGAAGCAGCCAACTAATGTTAGATTAGCGTCCAGATTAGAATACAGAATGAATTATAGGACAAGCGTACATTTACTGGCAGTGGTGGTTCATTTAGCCAGTAGAAGAATGTGTTACTCAACACAGATACCCAAAGAATAGAAATATGATATATCTTTAGGCATTCAAAAGTTTATTTCAGTTGAACATGACATGTTTTTCTTCGTTTTGTTACTAACTCGAAACATGACTAGTTCAGAACACTTTAAAAACTCGCAAGAGTACGTGATACACTTTAAAGATATATTTAAACGATTAAAACAAACTTCGAGGGAAAGAAAGGATATAATAATATGTCCGGCTACCAAGCGTTTCTTTCATGACATAAATACAAGACAGAGTAAACAAAGCTCTTGATAATACAACCTAAAAATTAAGTCAGTTAGCATTTGCTTTTATTTAGCGCTGAAATCCCCTAGGTAGGTAAAATGATCGACACACTTAAAAACTGCATCTACTAAAAAGATGGGACTTCAAGTGGACGTAGAGAAGACAGAGGTGATGATACTCAACCAACAACAAGCTCCAATCACCATCAACAGCAGAAACTTAAAGGAAGTAGTCTCTTTCACCAATCTAGGCAGCACTGTTTCCACTACAGGTGGCACACATGAGCACGTCAAAGCCAGCATCTGAAAAGCAAGACAGGTCTTCATTAGCCTGAAACCAGTGTGGAGATCTACTGCACTGCACTCAGCATAAAGCGTGAACAACATCCTGATTTTCAACACCAACGTCAAGTCAGTGCTTCTGTATGGTTCAGAAACTTGGCGGGTTACGAAAGGCATTTCCAACAAACTACAGACATACATCAACAACTGCCACCTACGCTGACTCCAGACTGAAGATCAGTTGACCAGAATAATGAGAATAAGCAACAAGGAACTCTGGCCAAGTGACGAACCAACCAAGAAGCTATCACTCAACAAATATGCACTGGAAGGAAGTGGAGATGGATTGGATTGGGCCGATTGGGGACATCACGCGCCAGGCCAGTTACTCGAGTGGAACGTCGATGGGAAGTGACGAGTTGAGCGTCCGAGGGTGATATAGAGGAGATCGTGCGAGGAGGAAATGGGAACTTGTGGGCTGTCATGGAGCCAGGTTCAAGAGTTTGGAGAGAACAGAGTGGAATGGAGACGTGCTACTGAAGCCGTATGTTCCATTGGGAACCCAAGGGACAAATAATAAATAATAATAATAATAATTAAAAAGATACGAAGAAACTAACTCTGATGTACTAATATTTATTAAAGAGATGAAAAATGCCTATGAGAAATCCAAGATACAGTGAACTGTAGATTTTTAAATGATTTGAGTGTTTCTTTCCTCCTGATTATCCTTGAAAAAACTTAATTTTAAACGAATTTTTGTAGGAAATTTCGTTGAAAATTGTAAGTAGTATTCCATACTTTGTCACAATGGAGCTGTGGCTTACTGATTTAGAGAGGTGACTATCAACCACTTGGTCACGGGTTCGACTCCTGCGCCGCCTACAGAGGTTTGGGCAGCCAGGTATCGCTAGTCATCACACAATAGATGTCGCTCAATGCCTACTGCATGGATTTGCAGAAGGTAGCTAATTGCATTTTGATTCGATTCGACTTTTCCACACACCATAAGTATGATCTACATCCATGAGGAACATCTGCAATATGGAATGAACCAATTTATTTAGAGGTAGCATTCATCACGGGCTGACATCAGTTGGAGAACCATTGAAAACCTGAGGGCATTAGATAGCTGTTTCGTCCTGGTATGGGACTCCTCAGAAGTACGCATCCATGACACCGCCCAAACAGGGATCGAACTCAGGACCTTTAGCTTTCACGGCCAACGCGTCAACCATTCAACCACTGGGTCAGAGTTCAATGGATCAGTTTCTGACTTCTGGTAATTCACTATATAGCGCGACTATCACCTAAGGTCTTCAGTTTTGACATCCGTTTCCTTTCCGACTGGTTGACCCCACAGGTCATGGCTTCTCATCAGAACTTCGTGATACTCAATCCACCTGGAAGCATGTCACTAATGAGCACTAGACAGTAACAATGAATATTTACACAAAATGATTAAAATTTTAGGTGTTTGTTACTATTAGGAACAATACAATGACTGTCCATCATCCTACCACCAATAGTTGGAATTTTAATCGCAGATAGTAATTTCCTTCGTAATATTACCAAAAAGCCAAAAAAAATTGATTATTCTGTCTAAAATCTTATTGTCAATTTATTTACAGTAAAATCAAATCTATTTTTGTATAATTTAATGATTATTTATTTATAAAATGATCCAACAATTTAGACCTTAGTTCCTAGATAGTTTTAGTTAGTAACCTAGTTGAGTTGACTATAGGCCGTAGAATTGTAAAAACTAGGCTGCTTGCTCTGTAGGTATTACAAGAATATAGAAGTCTTTACTTTCAAGCTGGGACGGTCAACGATCGACACCGGTCAGAGAATATATATATATATATATATATATATATATATATATATATATATATAACTAGCATATCTTAGCCAAACAGAAAGCCTGTTTGTTGGTAACCACCGCACTTCCTCGTTCTTCATCTTCGATGGTGCATTTGGATAGCGGCTTTGTGAGTGTCAATTGAATAACTATTGAGAACTAGGTAAATTATTCCTTAAGATTTGTCATCATCATTTTACTCACCGAACATACCTAGTGATTATTGGTGTCTATGACTATCGCCTTCTCTTTCGTTACCGACTATCACTCAAAATCGTTAAGTGGACTACTTTTCGTCACTTTAGCTTTTTTGATGTCTTCGCATTTTAGACAAGTGAATCAATTATTTATAGCTCCCATTACTTTGATTGAATTCAGCGTATTTAAACTTTCAGTTACAAGTCTCTGGATGTCTGAATCGTTTCTTTTGCAAAACATTGCGAATTACACGAAAATTTATTCGATGAAATAGAAGTGTCGAGCATTTGTGACCATCTATTTAGTCATGTCATAAATACAATCTTAATACTTCAAGACAGAGTATATAAAGCCCTTGATAATAAATATAATCTAAGAATTAAGTCAGCACTGATATCATCACCTAGGTAAATAAGGCAGTTAAAGCACTTAAAAAAAAACTGCATTTATTGGAAAGATATGAAGAAACCAACTCTGACATATCAAAATAGGAAAAATGCATATCAGATATTCAAGATGACGCATTCAACATATCAGGAAAGTTTTGGTATAAAATGAATCCCTGAAATCTAAGAGAAAAATGTGTTACTTCCATAGGAATCTACGACACTGTATCGAGTAATATATTCCCAAACATATACGAAAGTTCATGAAGAGAAATATAACACGATTCAATGATCTAGGCATTCGATTCTCTATAGAACCATCATTACAAGTACAAATATACTTAACAATAGTTTATGTCACAAGCTTCCTTGTCCCAGTTTAAAATGAATTAGTAATCTGGGTCGAAATCAAATAGGTGTTATTCCCTAGTTATAAAATAAACTACTCTGATCTCTATACTAAATCCCAGATCCACCAATTCAAACAACAACATTCACATTCAACTTAATGATTGCCAATAAGCGAGGATAAGTTTGGACACTGTACTCAAACATCGGCATATGAAAAAATATATACATACATATAACTAAAGGTATACAGTCTGGTAATCACAACAGAGTAACATATCGACACAAAAAAGTATGAAAAACAAAACTTTTAGTCCATAAATGTCACAGGTTAAGTGTACAAATATTCGCTTCAAAAGTATTTCAAGTTGTTATTCATTGTAGACTGACATCAGTTGGAGGAACAAAGGAAACCTGGGAGCACTGGACAGCTGTTTCGTCCAACTAGTATGGGACTCCTCAGCAGTGCTCACCCATGACGCCGACAGGGGTCAAACCTGCGACCTTCAGGTCCCGTGGCTGAGGAGTCCCGTACTAGGACGAAACAGCTATCCAATGCTCCCAGGTTTCCTTTGTTTCTTTAACTGATTTCAGTTCAAATCCCCACAACTCCCTCAAAATTCAAAAAGTATTTGTTGAAAACAAACACACACACAAATATACCAAAGAAACAAAGAAGATGAATTTAACTAATATAAATCTTTAGTGATTGAAGTGAAATAAAAATCTGATCAGCCGTTGGACCTCCTAGCTCAGTTGATAGAGCATTGGGGCGAAGGAGACCCGGTAGTCACTACTTGGAATCCGGTCATAGTTAAAATTTTTATTACACCTTCAATCATCACCCAGTATAATATAAATTTCACATAAAATTTACCTTGACAAATAAAATTGGGATTGTTTCCTTTTGACGTGCATATCGTCGAGCAACACGATAAACTGTTTCTGGGATGAATTCAAGAACCAAATTCAAATACACATCATCTTTCTAAGGAAAATAGATGGGAGGGGGGAAAGTAATAAAATGAAATAAAATACAATCTAAAACAGTTTCAATGCATTTTATTTCAAAGAGAAGTACAGTTTGTAGCAATATACAAAGTGCTATATTTGAACTTCAATGTAGACCAATTAGTATAGTAATAAGTGTATCCAATGACTGATTGTACACATGAATAGCAGCTTATAGATGGCTACAGTATTTAATAGACCAGTTAGGTACTGAGATGGTTAAAAAACCAACAGAAACATGTTCCAGTATACACCTCTATGAATAAAATTACACAGACAAGACAAAAAGGAAGGAGTACTGGACTATATAACAAGATATTATGTATTTGGAGTTTAAAAATATTCAATTAACTGAACCGCAGATCATAGTACAGCTAAATTAACAGTCCATGACCTATTGATGTCCACTTACAGTTTCAGTCCACTTATTTATTCGTTACAATTCGAACAATTTAAAGAGTTTAAACTATAACAGTCAAATCTTACAGTAAAAGATTGAACACACAGATTTCGATGCAACAAACAGCTTCCATGTTCAAGAACAACATCCTGCAGACAACTCACAAAATCAGATTCTATTGTTATAACCCATTACTGGAGTGAATCGAAAGAGGAATACTGATTTTTTTCGAAGCATTTGATTGGATTCTGATTACACACTGGTATGTAAATGTCTGAATCAACATACAGAGTATACAGTTGGTAGATGTCTGCGTTTGGGGTGAAGATAAGAACACTAGTTCTGTGTTCAGATGAAAAGTTTTTGAACACTGATTATTCTTCATAGTCAGGGTACTAACTGGTAAACATTTCAATGTCACGCTAAACAACTTCATCAGGGCTTCATAAGGAGGTGAAGCAATTGGTGTTGTATAAATATTTAGTATGTGATACTTTGTCTGAGTGTGGTTTGGTTGATCGTTTGATTGTTTGACTCCCTGCATCTAATTTTCTCGGATGGTCGTGTAACTAAGTGACTCGTCAACTTCTATTGTTTGCTCACAGCACGTTGAGGTCACTTCTTGGTGACTGGCTCACTTTTTTTGTTTGACTGAATCGATGGATGCTGCCTTGGTCTGATTAACTGACTCGTATATATTGAAGAGGGGATGGTAAAGCCTGATCGGTTGATTGATTGCTTAATCGATACAAAAAGCCTACTCAGCAAAAATCCAACCAACCAGCAGTAGCAAAGAATACTTCTCCAGTTGAAAAGAATCAAGCAATCACCATGATGTTTTCCTCCTCCAATATACACGAGTCAACCAACCACATTACGACGACTTCCATTAGTCTAGTCACACAAGAATGTCAACCAATCAGAGCAAGGTGACATCCAATGATTCAGTCAAACAAAGAGTGAACCAATCATAAAGAAGTGACCTCAACGTGCTATGAGCAAACAAAAGAAGTTGACGAGTCACATAGTTGCACAACCAACCGGGGAAATTAAAAGCAGAAATTCAACCGATCAGGTTCACTGTACGCCCATGCACTCACTAAGTGACCGACCAAACAACACTCAGACAAAGTAGCACGTACTAAATATTCATGCAACATCAGTTACTTCACTTCCTCATGAGGCTCTGATGAAGATGTTTAGCGTGACATTGAAACGTTTGTCAATTAAAACCCTAGCTCAAAGAACAACTCATTTGAACATCTACACTCTAAGCTATAAAAATCCACCATAATTTACAGCGATTATTCTTTTGATGTATCACGATATCATATTAACTCTACAGCAGAAACTGTGATGGAGACGTTTGGTAATCTAATTCTCAGTGGATCTATCAAGACTCATTCCGAATATCTAATGTGAGTACATTATTTCAGTTGACTCCAAGCACTATGAGGACAAGACGATGCAGACAGATAGATAAATCAATGTACAACCTAGTACAGAAAGGTATCAGCTTAAGCTTATACAATTGGCAACAAAAAAAATGAACAAACAGAATGATATTAAACAAAACAAAAAATATAAGACTAGAAATAAGAAACAACGGGAGGGATATGAACACTTTTTTGAACTAGAAAAAGGATGAATAAACTCTATCACCACCACTAACCTTCAGTCATACTATCGAGTCTGTAAACACTTATTGAAAAGCCCTCACGAAGTGATCCGGGCAAGCTATGCATCCCTCTGATAGGTGACTACAGCATCAGGCGAAGTCATTCAGGCAACATTCTAAATGGAAAACAATTCAACCTCATTTACAATGGGAGGTTACTACAAGTTTCTACATCCGTTGAGAATCACGTTCCAAAACTAAAACGAGGTAGGGCAGAAAGTATCCTCCAAACGGTCCAAGTTCACCGAAATAACTCCTTCGAATAAGTGAGTTCCTAAATACTATATGAGAAACTGAAGAAGGTCTATCAAGCAGCTTAGAAAAGCATTCATGGAAGTGTCTTTATTTTTCTAAGGCATCTAAGGGACTCATCTGAGGTACTTATGACTACGGGGACAAATGCATCCACATAAGGTACCGAACTTCACAGTGGCATGCACAGAATAAGTGGAAAGAAAAAGATTCATATCAAAGTACATAGAGCTGTGTGTTAGTGAAAATATCCAAGCTGTAGAAGACGTCAAAAAATGAATACATCCGCACCAGTGTAACTGACTTTTAGGCACTTCACTAAGCATCGTCAACGGTAGATTCCTACTATCTCGGGATCCAAGCCACGTAGTCTACACTTCTCTACAAGACTCAGACCAAACGTCAGACACCATGCACTGGTGCCACATCTTAACCTGACCATTGTCAACCCTCCTCCAACTTCTCCTAGCACTGCGCATCAAAGCAGCTGGTGGCTCGGCATGCAGAGCACATGTCAAGGCCAACTCAGTCGGTGAAGCTTCACAATTTTACCGACTAACTCCCCTCACTTGCCTAATAACTTTTGCTAATATGGTGATTCCACCATACATGACCAATGCTTCGAAGACACTTGTGGTCAAAACCCTGTGCTCTCTTCATGTCTTCTACTTCTAACAGTCATGTCTCGTAACCGTATAGTAGGACAGAACGAACTGCAGTGTCGGATATCTCGTCTGGTTTTCCCCTTGATTGCTACTATCCAGCTCCAGTCAGGCGTCAGATAACAATAAACCACAGGATCTCAGACACGACGTTAGTCAGTCAAACTGATCCCCCTATGGTTGTCACAGGAAGACTTCTCTCTCTTTTCACAAACAGCAATAATTAACTATCTAGACTACTCACACGAGACTATCTCTGTTTCCATACACCACCCAGTACTTCCATTTCCCTACTCGGTAATTTACTACCCCCATCCTTAAAATCTTCTGGTGGCAAACCGTCAGGTCCTGCTGCTTTGCAACGTTTCAGGTTGGAAACAGTCTTCTCAACTATGAGGACAGTTGCAGGACCGATATCTACGTCCAATTCACGTTCGGACTTAATGCTGGACAACTGAAGTGTGGCTGTAGACCAGTTGAACTGTCCTTTAAACTGTTCCGTCTAACTTTCGTCCTGGCCGTCTATCCTGAGAGGTAATCACGGCCCCGTCCCTCTCAGTGATAGTCACACCATCATCATCTTCTTGCCGGTATCCTTAATAAGCCTAGTTAATTGCCAGGTACAATCAAATGATGATGCCTCCTTCATCTCTTTTACTTCCGCCATACATCACTGCTCACGAACATTGAGGAGAATCTTGATTAATTTACATTTGAACTGCTTCTGCGCCTCATCGTTGTCAGAGCCAGCTGGAAACAATCTCGTCACACTAATCGGTTCGGATGAGATTGAGGAAGCCCGTTGACGTCTGTTAACCTTAGAACATAGGTTACCAACTGTCTTTACCGCTGTTTCTATGGTAGACTTAGTATCATACCAGATTTCATCAGCATGAGAATCGCTGTCACGTTCAGATATATGCTTAGCTATTTCTTCCTTAAATACACACTTGCCTTTCTCATATTTCAGTCGAGCATACAGGCTTCATCGCTACCTGTTTTCTATGACAGGTAAGGCACAAACTTACACGCATAATCGGAGTCCAAACAGGTAGTCCAGAAAGAGTAAAAATGCTTCACTAATCCTCTCAAATGATGGTTTATAGCAATATGATTTACATATCCATCGTTGGTTTGATGGCAACGGACGTCATGTGAGACAGTATCTTCGTTAATGCTAGAAGTTAGTGCTGACCAAAAACAAATGATTGTCGGAGCAAAATAGTAACATACGATCATCGTTCTCGATTCGTTGGCACGGAATTCCGTATATACTTCCAAGATGCCTTATGTGTTGACTTAGACTCTCTACTTTAGGCGTCAAAGCTGCATGCTGTTATGACTGTGCCTGAACGTTATACTTTATTCAGCAAAATATATAGCTTCTGATAGAATCCATCCTTTGCATCATCCAAACTCCAGTCAGTGGGTACTTAGGTGAAAATTAAGAATAGCCATTCACAAGTACCATGATCCTTCCCAGTTCCTACAAATATATTCAGTTGAACAGCTTACGGATGGTTGTTGACTGATATCCAGTTGAGATATGTGCTTTTTGCTCTACAACTTAGTGTTTACACCAGTCATTGAGATTCTACAGTTCCGAAGAGCAATGCCTGCTGTCCGACTTGGCATAGGGTTCGGAAGTCGACAACTCCAGTATGCAATCGACGGCGGCGTCTTAAGAGGTATGGAATAGAGTGTGCTGTTTTGTGGGTCAACCTTTTCTAACCTCCTCCCTTTTCATAGGAAAGGCAACACTGGTAAGAACTGCTGGTCATTCGTGGGAAACATCTTACTGCTGTCCCACCATCCAGCTAGCTGTACAATTTCGCCCTCGAACCTACATCATGACGTATCTATTTACACCATGACGGTAACCGCTTTTTGTCTTACCACCACCCAACAGACTCTTATAGCATGTTAAGACCTCAAGTAAGACGCGTCTTAGATCACTGGGATATGCAAATGCGACTACCACATCAAAGTAATAGCTATCGGTTAAGAAGGGGTTGATCTACCTGAAAAACATCCGGTTGACCTACGCTAGATAAAGAAACTAACAAAATGCAAGGTTTTCTGAACATTCTATTGAAAAACAGTGTTCAATATGTAATGTGCACCTACCAAATGTAGGATAACCCTGCAGAATTGGTCTTTTCCGTCTCCAGTTTAAGACTATGACCATCTCAATTAAGCGCTTATTTCCACCAACTTTAATGGACTGAATTTCGACTAAATCTCGGCATGGATATGAAAAGTTTGTTCGGCGTTTGCCAACATACAACAAATGAAATGCTAGCTGGATACTCATCTGTTAATCAGATGGAAAATGCACTGCACGGTAGCCAGCTTTATTCTAATCAAAAGCTATGAGAAATGGTTGCTGAGAGTGGATGTCTTAAGAATTACATGTTTTCAACCACACATGTAGCATTGCTGGAATGTGGTGGAGTCATAGAATGAGCAATGTTGAGTTCAGATGTACAGCCATGGACAGGTAAGTCAGTTGGACAGATTGTCAACATGAACTGACAATGATTCCCGTGAATTTACTGTTTTCGCTTTACAAAATCCCTAACGTTCCACTAAACTTCATTTACTTATCCTTTCAATTTTCATTCCATTTTTTAGTATCCCACCAGTTTTGTTGATTTCATTCCTGTGTTCATATGAATTGTGACAACTTTAACCATTGTTTTGAGCAAGGATTTATGTTGTTTTACTTTATCTGATATATATTCTAAGAAGGTAGCTACAAAAGAAGTGACCTGTTATCTCCACTTACCAATACTACAGATGATCGGTTTAAAAATGCCCAATTTTATATATTCAAATGAGAATATCAGGTGATCTAAATCATCTCTCCTTCAGTAACACGCATTACCTCATTAATCTAGTTCTCAGCAAACCCAATATTTTCACTCATATGGGTTGATTAATTCCAGAAAAACTTCCCACGACTGCTGTTATCGAAATACCAGATCAAAACTGCAAATGCTGCTCCATAGAATAGTGATATCATCTAATTTAATTTTTATATTTCTATTCCAAAAAATAAAATTCTAACTTGGAGGTTTAAAGTAGTTTACGTTGGACCTAAATTTATATATTACAGTGACAACGAGCATATTATTAGGCTTTACAAAACACCTACATATCACTCATAGAAACCATAAGAACTTACTCTCTCACCCACAAAATGAAAGAAATATTTCAACTGCACAATGTTGGGATGATCCAGTTGTCTCATGATTTGTAACTCTCGATTCTGAAATTAAAAAACATGAAATTGACCAAAAAGATATGTGAAAATAAACTCTATGAACAGTTGGTATATGTGACAATAGAAAACTAGCTAAGTAAAGGGTGGAGTTGTCAAATCTTTTAACAGTACAAAACAAATTGTGTACAAAAACAGAAATGAAAGCAAAAAATGCATTCAGGATAAACTGCAAGGGTGACTTCGCTACCAGAAGTTGTACCACATATGATATAAATTACGTGCGAATTCGTATACTAGGTAATGAACCAAACCTATTGTTTAATAGCTATCCAAAACTACGATCACTGGCCAGAAGTCAACTGCTTAAACCGATGTGCGACAGCTTCCACCTTTACAGAAGCGAAACATCAAACAAATCAGCCGTACTATTGTTAGTACTCTTTACATCGACATTTCCACGCACCAGCCAAGTCAACAGAAACTAGTTTGCTACGAATTCCCTCTTCGACAAAACAGAACCCTACTTTTAATAGATCTACTAGCAACACAAAAACGGTTCGCTGTGAAATTTCTGTAACAACTACAGGTGGATCAGCTTGACTGATGCCTTCTCTGAGATCCTGAGGTCCATAGTTATCCAACGCTTAAATGAAGCTCGAGAACAACAAACATGAGAAGAGCAGACAGGTTTCAGACCAGGACAAGAGTGCATTGGCCAGACTTCCAATCACCCATGTCTTGTAGAAAACAATCATACTTACCGACGGCGGACACTTGCCATAATTCCTGGTCGCAATGAAGCATTCGACTCATGTCGACCTTGAGATGTTGTGACAGTGTCTGGCTGAATCAATAACCGAGCAAGTACATAAATCTAATCAAAGCCCTCAACTCAGACTCGTGTGTCTTTGTAAGGGCATACGCACAGTTATCATCTGAATCGAATAGTGGTGTCCGTTACGGATGCCCGTTGTCATCGTTCCTGTATAATCTCGTTATAGATGTACTAGTGGACACAACCTTAAATACCTCTTAATTCACACGGATTGATTTACTCCCCGGAGGGCATCTGTATGATTTGGAGTACGCAGACTATATCGTCCTGCTAGGTAAAGACGTTAACAAAATACAGGGTATTCTGGACGTGTCGAGCGGAAATCTGAATGTGCGTGGCATGCGTTTTGCTCGCACCTATCAAGTGTAAGATGACGCTCTGTTGTAAATACTCCCAGTTTAATGACAGGGAATGAAATGGTGGAATATGTCAACAACTCCACTTACTTGAGGAGTTGAACCCGCTTGCTGACGAAATCTCAGCTTTGATGCAAAAGGTCCATTTGGCATTTACCAACTTGTGTCATCTCTAGCACCGACTGGTGAGATATCCGACTAGTTGTTAAAAGAAGAGTATACTGCAATGCAGTTCGTTCAATCCTGTTATACGGCTGAGACATGGCTGTCAAAAGTAGAAGATATAGAGTGATTTCATGTTTTTGATTACAAGTGTCTTCGTAGCATTGCCTTGTGGAGCTGCGGCTCAGTAGTTTAGGGTGATGACCATCCACCATTTGGTCACGTGTCCGAGCCACTGTCCACTTCCCGAGGTTTCAGCAGGTAGGTGGTATCATTAGCCTTCATACAATAGGTGCGACTCATTGTCTACTGCACGGCTGTGAATAAGGTAGCTGGTTGTGTTTCGTATTCGTCGTTTTGTAGCATTACTTGTGTGTGGTAGAATCACTATGTTAGGCATGTCGATGTCAGGTGAAGGGTTCTAGAGAAGGAAGGCAAGTCAATCAACAAGGTTGTGGAGCTTCATCGATTGAGGTGGCTTTGAATTGTGCTGCGCATGCCAAACCACCGCCTACCTCGACTTGCCATGCTAGGTGAAGTTGGATTAGGTTGTTAGAGGGTTCAGGTTGGCCAGACCAAGACGTGATACAAGTTGATAAAGTCTCTGACTTCAAATTCCTTCTCCTCCCAAACACCTGTACTTTGATGTCAGCCATTTTGTTTTTGTATACTACAGTGAAGTGTGATAACGTGAACTGATCATCTCCTCTGCGACGTCCTATGTTGATTTCATCTGTCTATCTGCCTATAGTGATATATCAGGTGAGTTGAGCGCGTCGAGTAGTGTCTGTTAAAGATGTTCACTCTCTTCGTTCTATGTAATTTTGTCATACACGTATTTGGGACGGTCTTCTCTTCCTTGTCTGACTTTAAAGGGACTGATCTTGTTACATCAAACTCCCTAGTAAATGTAGAGTACGCAGGTGACATAATTCTTATAGATGAAGACACTGATAAGACGGAGAGTTGCTTAGACGCCCCGAAGGACAGTTCACTTATGTTCGAGATGCGCTTCTGATCACCCAAATCAAATTGTTGCTCCAAGACTGCTCTTTGCTAGTACCTTTTTCAACAATAGGAAGTGCATTCACTACTTCATCTCCTTGGGAAAGTGGATCAGTGGCTGACTAAATCTTGACATGGATACAAAAGACTCCATTGGTTTCTCCAGCTAACTGCACCAGTGTGATATCAGATTGTCTACTGTAAGTCAATTGTGTTGCGCTCCAATTTCATTGTGATTGTGAAACGACCATTATACGTAGAGAACGTTAAAAACTAAGTTCTCGATTACCGTTGTTTTTGGTGTACAGGCCATTTTTTGGAACTAACACGTCAGTAATGTAGAAGTCAAGCGTAGAATTTTAGGCGAAAGTAAGTCAGCTACTGCTTTGAAATTTCATCATGCATGCCTAGTTATTTCCTACTCCATCACGTAATGTTGACTGAAGTAGGTTTAGACTGGAAAAGGGATAAGGGTAACCAAATGAAATATAACATCAGTCCATGTAGCCTTTAACTGTTAGTCTAAGTTGCGCAGGGGAATGTAGACTTCGCGGTTGGAGTCCGCGTGTCAACCGGAACTGATGGTTAAAGACTATAGGCGATACAGTTTAGAATCGGTCTCAGTGGCGGAGATGCATCCACATACGACCTTAATCCCAATCGTCATGCTAAATTTCATCGTTTTCCCTTTCTATGACCTTCTACCATTTTGACTTTTTTCATTATTTATAAGTGCCTTTAAACCTGATACGCTGATAAAGTGTAGCAACGTTCACCATCATGCAGTAACACCAAGTCCCACTTTGATCCTGACCGATACAGTTTCAAAATACACTACACCTACTTCAACTTTGCAGAATAAGTCGTATAATAACTCCTGACTTCTTTCAGTTTATCATATTACACGATTACGATTGTCCCTTATCTTCAGTTTTCTAAGTTTTGATCAGTACTTCCGTTTAACTCAACACGGTAAGCAATACTTCGAACCCATCAATGCTTAAAAAACATATCGTCTTCTTACACCATCTGCCCTAAAAACTTTTCTGTTGTATAGTATGACAAAGGTTTGGACTGGCGTCTGTAAATCTATGGTGACAATTAATGAAAGTAAACTTAATGTTTCTGCCAAGAACTTGTGAACTGCTAGGACACAAAAGTTGATGATAAACTGTGAACAAGTGGAACAATTAGCAGACAGTCAGACAGAAGAAATCAATATAGAACCTGGTACATAAATACCACAAGCTGCCAAACTTTAAAGTAGTATGCAAAGAACAAGTGGATATGAAAGATTGATATCAAAATAGACAGGTTTATGAGAGGATACGGAAGTTAAAAGTAAGATTGGTCAAAACATTCAAGCTAAGGAAGATATCAAAGAGTGAACACATCCATACCACTATAACCGATTTTCAGCTATTTATCAGCCACTGATTTCTATCGTCTCAAGGACCCCAAGATAGGTAGTTTCCATCTCCCTACACGCCTCATACTGACAGTCAGGGACTTCATCGACTAGTGCCACGTCTGGTAGAGCTGAACCTTCTTCCAACCTAATCCAACTTCACCTAGCATGGCAAGTCGAGGTAGGCGGTGGTTTGGCATGCGCAGCACAATTCAAAGCCACCTCAATCGATGAAGCTCCACAACCTTGTTGATTGACTTGCCTTCCTTCTCTAGAACCCTTCACCTGACATCGACATGCCTAACATAGTGATTCTACCACACACAAGTAATGCTACAAAACGACGAATACGAAACACAACCAGCTACCTTATTCACAGCCGTGCAGTAGACAATGAGTCGCACCTATTGTATGAAGGCTAATGATACCACCTACCTGCTGAAACCTCGGGAAGTGGACAGTGGCTCGGACACGTGACCAAATGGTGGATGGTCATCACCCTAAACTACTGAGCCGCAGCTCCACAAGGCAATGCTACGAAGACACTTGTAATCAAAAACATGAAATCACTCTATATCTTCTACTTTTGACAGCCATGTCTCAGCCGTATAACAGGATTGAACGAACTGCATTGCAGTATACTCTTCTTTTAACAACTAGTCGGATATCTCACCAGTCGGTGCTAGAGATGACACAAGTTGGTAAATGCCAAATGGACCTTTTGCATCAAAGCTGAGATTTCGTCAGCAAGCGGGTTCAACTCCTCAAGTAAGTGGAGTTGTTGACATATTCCACCATTTCATTCCCTGTCATTAAACTGGGAGTATTTACAACAGAGCGTCATCTTACACTTGATAGGTGCGAGCAAAACGCATGCCACGCACATTCAGATTTCCGCTCGACACGTCCAGAATACCCTGTATTTTGTTAACGTCTTTACCTAGCAGGACGATATAGTCTGCGTACTCCAAATCATACAGATGCCCTCCGGGGAGTAAATCAATCCGTGTGAATTAAGAGGTATTTAAGGTTGTGTCCACTAGTACATCTATAACGAGATTACACAGGAACGATGACAGTAGCCATCCCTGGCAGACATCACGATCATAAACGTTTTAGTTCATAATTTCAGAATGCGTGTATAGTCATACGTTTGCATAATACAAATGCGAAAGTCAACTGAAAGTATGAGTGAATCATACTCGAATAATAATAAGTAGGTACATCGAACTTGTGAGGCAAAAAAAACAACGAAGATTGAGTAGTAATAAGTGGATATTATGAAACTACCTCCAATGCTGTAAGACGTGTACTTGATGCCTGCTGTGACGATTAAAATGGGTATTGGAATCGTTTTAATATGCTTTTCGCGACAAAAGTACATTCTGAGAAAATTCAAGACGCAATTCCTATCGCAATCTGCACAAGGCAACACCCTAGGTACGAGATAAATACCAGTCACATCGGCAGGCACTCCCTTATGAAACAAGCTAGGACCTGTGGTGAAGTCAAACAATGATGACAACAACTAGAGAGCTGGTGGACGACTCTGAATACCCAACTATTTCGCAGGCTATCTGACCGATAAGCTATTAATGTTGAATACACTTCCTGGAACTGTTTTACAGTATTGTTGATCTGTTTTATAGTATTTTGATCTCAAGCCCCCGGGATGAGATAATCTACAGTCATGTGAACGAATTCAAGTACAAAAGTTGATCTAACCTCTTCATGCATAAAAATGGAAAACTCGAACAGATTTTTAGTCTGGAGTTATTCCCACTCAATCGTTTCTCGCACTGTTATACCCCTGTTACGGTCCTGAAATCGTGATATCACTGACTGTTCAGGGTTATTTTTGCACCAGTTGGAGGTCGCTATTGCTTAGATTTACCGAACATGTTTTGCACAGATTGGACAGTTTACTTGGACTTTGAGAAAACTGATGACAGGGATTTCGGTTGACCCGAGAATATCAAGCATCGGTAAGTGGGCGGATTTACACAAATCGCACTTTAAACTTTGCATTTTATAAATCGCAAAAGATGGTCCCTTTGGTTTCCTGTCTTAATGGAACGTTTTCATGGCTGAAGGTCAGTGACAAGACTCAATACTGATATGAGTGCCAAGGAGTGAAAGAAACTATTCTTGTAGTATGTATCAAGCAAGAATTAAGTAAGAAGTTTGAGGCAGTAGGAAGTTTGATTTATGAACGATGAAAGTTTATCATTAATCAATACACAGTAAACAAAACATTTGCCTACCTTGAAACGCCTGTCTTGTAAAACTTTCTTAACAGCAACAATTTCATCAGACTCTAGAAGTCTGGCTTGATAGACAACTCCAAACGATCCATTGCCGATTACTTTGGCGTCAGTATAGGATATCTCCTTCGATTTATCTCCTTGACACAAGTAGGCAACAACCGTTACCACCTTATTGACATCCTTTTCTAAAATTTTGTCATGGAATACCGAAAGTAGTTCTTACGACTCATTTTATTTCATGGCATTTGATAGAATAAGTAAACAGAAATCGTTAAATGGCGCCAAGGTCAAGTCTGAAATAGGCGGGTCAGATCCGATTTCCAAGCTACCTACTGTCTTCAATTAAAAAAGAAAAAGCCTAACACCTTGTGGTAATGCAAACAGTAGATATTTGAGTGCATATCTAGACCATTTGTTAAATCATCCATCGATGAGCTATTAACTCGTGTTCCAGTAACCAATATCCAATATTGATAGTGCGAGCGTAGAAAACTGGTAGTGTTTGATCTCTCGCTTGATTCCAGTTGTTCGGTTTACTCCTGCAGTGGACGAGGAAATCCCTTCTGCTTTCTTGCTTTTAGCTTCGGTGAGGTGGATGTTTTGTGGGTTAGTAGGTTGTAATTTGTAGAGTGATTAGGGAGCTACGGGTTGCTGGGAAGTTTAGAGAACTGCCGTGACTCCTGTCTGTGTAGGTACCTGAAAGAGAATAGTAAGGTAGTGGTAAAGGAATGAAGAGAGAATAAAGAAGAGAGTGAAGTAGCACCATAGAGACTCTGGGAGCTGGGTTAAGGCCGTATCGCTAACCATCCTTGCCTTTAAACAGGAGTTTACGTAGATAGCCACTCCCCCTCCTGCTCTATGTTCCCTGTCCCTGCGGAAGAGTTCCATGCCAGCAACACGCATCTCTTCGTCGGAGATGTCCGATGAGAGCCAGGATTCGGTGATGAATATGATGTCGTAGTGCTGATGTTCACGCAGCGTCCTCATTTCTGCTACCTTCCCTATTAGCCCCCTAACGTTGCTGTACATACATATTAGAGTGTGCCTGATGAGAGGGGAGGTCTGGATGTGTATTTTCGAGGGATGAGCGCTTACGTGGTTGAATTTAGCCTCGCCAGTCCTCATAGGACTGGCATTGTTCCGTTTTTTGTGTTTTGTTCTTAACTTGGGTGGGGGCTGTAGCAGTGGTGGCTTCTTTACTTGATGTATCTAACTCACTGGTCAGCGCCTGTGTGACGACCACTGACTCCAGAGGTCTTGGTGGTTGCCGTCTCTCCTCTTGCCTTGTGGGTCTAGGCTTACTTTCACATATACGTATTGAGCCACCCATGCGATCTTTCGCATTATACCATGCGTGCAGAACGTCTGTGAGGGAGGCATATGAGTCGAACTGGACGGCAAGTAGTCTGGGATTGGGTATGGTCTTCAGGTGCGCTGGCCTTGGCAGTCTACTGACGCTGTTGGCCGGTATACTGTTGAGACCAACTTTGGTTGAGAGCCATTGCCATTGTTGGACGTCGTGAAAGTACCGATCTTTGACCGAGCTGTCACTTGGCAATTCTGGAATCCCATGTACAACTATAGTGTTGTTTCTGTTGGGATTTCCAACCGCTGACTTTCTCTCCTCCTCTCTTATGACCATGGCTTGTCAGGCCTGGCCCGAATTTTACAGGCATTAACAACGTCCGGTTGTCGCAGAGAAGGAGTGTGTCTTCAGCCTCTTTGGCGGTATTTAGGGACACACGTAAAGGGGGTGGCTTATCTCGGGGTGCATGGCTTCCTCGAGAAAGGCGACACAAAGTTGCAGGGAGGGGAGGGAGTCCCAGCATCTGACAGTAGTCGGTCCACATTCGGCTGTCAAATTGTTCCCTCTCGACCAACAATGAGTCTGTCGATACATCGACGTTGAACAAAATGATCGAGTTGGTCCTCCTGTGACCTGGGTTCGTTGTGGGTGGCACGCCCGACTTACCAATGGGTTTGAGTAATTCCACTGGTTGTTTCTCAGTCACGGTGTGTGGGGTGTTCGGAATGGGTTTCGTAGAGGCTTCGGCGGTCGATGTCTTTGGCCATGCGCTTGACGTCCCCTGGGGCCGGGTAGGGGGTATGGAGACTTGACCTAATATGGTCCCCACGCGAGGTGGCGTGCCCACAGCTGGAGCTCTAGGTCTGTTTCCAGGTCTCTCTGTGTTATCCTTTGGTGTTAACCCTACTTTATTCGAGGATGCTGGTAGCTTTTGCGTGGCGGAGAGCATCTCCTTCAGGCTTTCTGTGCGGAGTGCGGGCATTTTCCTGCACTCTGGACAGATGTACCAGAACCACTTGCATGGTTGTCTCTTCATCAGCTTATAGTATTGTCGGGGGACTTTGGTATCGCAGTGGCAATGCGCCCATCGTTGACACAGGTTGCATGCAAATGCCTCATCGACTACCGAAACAACTTTGGTGCAAACACTGCAGCCATCGGGTGTCGTAATACAGCCTTCCTTCCATGAATAAGGTGCTACGGATTGTGGCGAACTGTTTGTGGCTGCCTTGTGCTTCAGTCGACAAGCATTTCAGTTTATTCAACAGCTTCTTTGACATATTCCAGAATAATCTCTCAGTAGTTGGTTTTAGAGGCTGTTAAGTAATTAGCTAGATCGAAAATCAACTCTTCATACAACTTCTTTTCTCCCAAGGCAAGTTAACTACCTTTTTCATGAAAGGGTTGAGGGAATAAGTCTTTCTGTCTAACCAATTTTCATAGTGGGTGCCCCCAATTTTCTGTAAGTAACCAGCTGCCCTCTTTAATACGTGCCACATCGTTTACATGCAGTATTCAGAGTAAGGTAAAGCATTCTGAAAGCGCTTCAAACCCCTAAGGGTCCCTTTGTTACAAACAATAACCCTCTTGTTTTTCTCTTCCACGACGAAAAATATACACTGAACCATCTAATGAATGTGAATTACCGTCCCCTTAGCTAATGCGAATTGTCATACTTCTGCTGAAACTGGCTTTCACACTCTGACGTCCATGCCACATAGGCTAACCATTTGAATGAATTTGCTGTGCTACCCGACTTCATCCTTTTGAATTGTCCCACAAACCCCGAAACCACTGGCAAATAGCGACAATACCGGCTTGGACATCGGAGTGAATTCACTAATGTAGCTTGTAAAGCAGAGAGATCCTGGTAGACTGCTATGGGGAACCCAATTTGCACTTAGTCTCCACACTAGACTGGACCAGCGAACTTTCTGATTTTCGTGATAGACGCCTCTAAATAATTCCTGAATATTTGCTGGTACTCGTAATTTCCTGCTGCTTAACTGGGTTGAATCTGCCGGCCTCTGCTCGAAAACGCCTCGATGCTGCCTAGATATAACCCCCAAGCGGTTTATTTACGATATTTTTATATCATTACAACGCACCTTCTTCATTACGGCCAAATGATGATAGGGTGGGGTTGGTTGGAGCACTTGTCCTACCGTGGGGCTGGGGTTTCCAGCCTGTAAATGTGCCACAACTGTGGATTTCTCCGGCAGGTGAAGAACTTAGGAGGGAGTAAATGGTGATAGACCTAAGGCTAACGAGATTGAACGCCAGTTATCGGACTCCAAGCTTGACTTAGTGACAGCACAGAATCTACCTGTTACAGTAGGTTTTGGCACTGAATTTTCACTACATCACTAAGTGAATGCTTCACCAACCACAATTTGCAAAAGGTTATCCTTTGGATCGTTAACTCTCAAATAAATTCTCTTAAACAGTTGCTGATATCAAAACTGGTCATATGCAAGCGCTACGTCTGACTTTCAGCCATTTGATATTCGCACCACTTGCTGCCGTTTGTCTCGCTAGGTGCACTCCTTTCAAATACTACCTCGTGTTGCGGTCAACGGACTGACCAAGAGAAATGCACATTTGAACAGCTAGAAGAGAAGCATAACACTGCATGATATTTGGTAGATAGACGGTGACTGCCTGGCCCTGGCATGTCATATTACCATTTGGTAAACTGTGTGCCATTCCAAAGTTGTTCTCCGCCGGCTGCTCGTTTTGTTGTCCCATTAGAGACCATCCACCAGTGGGCCACGTCTGTGTCGCTGTATAATGCTCCTTTGCAAACGACAATCTCTTGTAAAGCACCTAGCTCGGGATGATGAATAAAGAACCTCAAATTCTATGAAAGTTCATTTCGGCCAGGGTTTGACAGTTTACAAATTCAAGATGATGTAGATCCAGAAGAAGCACTTTCCACCAGTCCAGACACCTTCAGGATATTAGTCGTCCGACGTTGTGATTTGACAGGCTGTTAGTGCAACCTGAATAGCTGCTCGGGTGGACTGATAACTGTATGACAATCGTTCTCATATTAGAACACATGAGAGAGGAAAACATAAGTTCGACAGCCTGAACGATACATTTACCATCAAGTCTTCTTGTGAGAGAAGCAGAGGGGTGCCACATCCAACAACGTTGTAGTGGAAAGTTTCCACACATGTACAGTAAGTTTGTGATGACAAACAATCCTTGTAATGCCCGCAGGAATCTATCCTTCTGGATTCGCCAACGTAACGTGTGAGCTGAGTGACACTCTGCCAGCTGTTATTTGACAATGTTCGAAAACAGGGGTCTGAGAGAAGCTTTACTGCCCATCTGATGACCCACATATTACAAAGGTAATAGGGGTGTGACTGCGGGTAAGCGGATGGAAAAGGGGTTATGAGATGTATCTTTATCATTCCTGAACAGCGCCTCTTCATGCCACGCTGGCGTACACGAGAAATACCTCTTTAGGATTTGTCCTGGTGCTAACTTGACGGACGCAAGGACCAATCACTAATTATTCGGACTTGTTATATACCCACTAATACGAGACCAAGGAAGAACACGATAGCGTAGTCGGATGGAATAGTATATTTGGATGGTTGTGCCAAAATACCGATGCGTTCCAACTAACTGGCTAGAGAGTCGAATACGAGCAGTGCAACGTAACACGACAGCGTGACAGGTGGCGAGGATGCTTGACCGGGTGCCTTCAGCTTAGCGAGCCCAGTTAAACCATCAAGGTTAGCATCAATGTCGAAAGTCGTCAAACCCTGGGCTATTGATTTTGGGGGAGTGTGTGACGCTACACCTCCGTACAGAGAAATTGGAGGCTAGCACGACCTTAGAGAACCTCTGCTAGCTACGGAAACCTCTAGAGTCATAGATCAATAGGCACAAGCCGCATGATAATGATGGTATTATTTGTTTCACATAGTCCAGTGTACGTGGTTGCTGTTCCACCTCGGCCACGAGGTACGTTCGAAACTGCGTTACATTTTAAGGTGATTT